AAAGTAACAAAAACAAAATAACATAAGGACGAGCACACCTAGAAGTTAAACATTCTAAAAATAGAGTTATTAGCAAAAACCAACAATACCAACAACCACATGATCAAGTGAATTGCAGCGGAATAGCTGCGCTTGATTGTGTTGGCATAACAAAAATGAAAATAGTGGAAAAAAGCAAACGATAATTTACAAGGCGTACTTAGCACGGTGCATAGGCAACTGGCTGAGTCAGTGGGATCGTCGGTTCGAATCCTACTGAAAGAAGTCTGATGAGGAAATGTGGTGATTTCCGAAATAGCTATCACTTCTACCATTTTTTCAAATTATTGTTGCTTTTCCACAATAAATTTTCTATTAAAAACGGCCTCGAGCTCAATACGAATTGTTGAATATAATTGTTATAAGGCCAAAAAATAACAAAATATAAAATAATACTTAAGGACGAGCACACCTAAAAGTTAAACATTCTAAAAATAGAATTATTAGCAAAAGCCAACAATACTAACAACCACATGATCAAGTGAATTGCAGCGGAATAGCTGCGCTTGATTGTGTTGGCATAACAAAAATGAAAATAGTGGAAAAAAGCAAACGATAATTTACAAGGCGTACTTAGCACGGTGCATAGGCAACTGGCTGAGTCAGTGGGATCGTCGGTTCGAAGCCTACTGAAAGAAGTCTGATGAGGAAATGTGGCGATTTCCGAATAAGCTATCACTTCTACCATTTTTTTTCAAATTATTGTTGCTTTTCCACAATAAATTTTCTTTAAAAAACGGCATCAAGCTCAATAAAAATTGTTGAATATAATTGTTGATGCTGCTGCTGATGTGTATCATCACCACTTCCGCAATCACTTTTATATGCGCTAGACCAGGGCATGAATCATGTATGACGACAATCATCTGAACGATATCGTGTCGAGATTGTCTTGCTTCATAAAAATCAAAAATTGTTTAATCGTTTGTTCGATATCGTCAACTCGATTCCAGTTTTGCTTCACGTAACAGTAACAGTAACACGTAACAGCAACACAAATGCATAAATTAGTGTTTTGACAACATAGGTTTGTCAGTATCGTTTAAACGACTATCGTTTCAAAGTTACGTGATTCATGCCCAGGCTTTCCCAAAGTGGGTGCCGCTAGTGGCTAGATTATACTAGTGATGCGGGCAAATTCTTTAAACTTTTCATACATAACGTAAGCAGTTTGATCGAACTTCGACATGGCGGCCAGAAAATCAAAAAATTTTGATTTTTATTAAAATTACCTACAGCGGCTCGTCAAACCCCATACACAACNCTTTCCCAAA